TCAACAGTGTCAATAGTATCAATAGTGCTATTATTGTCATCTTTTGTCCATAGTGTCGATACTGTCAACTGTGTCTATAGTTTAAATAGTGCTATTATTGCCAACGATGTGAATACAGTTAATAGTGCCATTAATGTAGAGAGTGTCAATAGTATCAACAGGGTCAATAATGCCTAGTATGCCAATAGTGTCGATACTGTCAACAGTGTCAATTATGCCTAGTGTGTCAATAGTGTCGATACTGTCGACAGTGTCATCTTTTGTGAATAGTGTCGATACTGTCAACTGTGTCTATAGTATAAATAGTGCTATTATTGTTGACGGTGTGAATACTGTCAATAGTGTCAACAATTTCGAGAGCGTCAATGGTATCAATAATGATAATACTCTTAACCTTATCAATTGTGTCAATAATATCATTACTGTCAACTGTGTCTATAATATCATGAATGTGAATAGTATCAATAAGTGCTGATGCTGTCAGTTTTGTCAATAGTGTCAACAGTTGTCAATAATGTTTAGTGTGTCAATAGTGTCAATACTGTCAACAGTGTCGACAGTATCATCAATGTCAATCGTATCAATAGTGCTAATACTGTCAATTATGTCAATAGTGTCAACACTGTCACCTATGTCAATTAGTGTGGATAGTGTCAACAGTGTAAATCCTATTCGTATCATTCGCTTCAGTCGCTATTCCCATAATTCGTTATCCCTGTTATTCGAGTAACCAACGAAAAATCAACTTGCAATGTCGCATGGAACGCGAGCAAAGTATAATAATTGCGGAGGGCGTGAGCAATGGGGCCGGTTGTTTCCTCGCACGTGTCGCGCCATATGTCGGTGCACTTGGTGCAACGGGTGGCCCAAGGGCCGGCGACTTGCGTTACACGCCGATCACCGCTATAAGTTATGTCAGAGGATCGACAGGGGAATTGCTGGCACGCATCAACGCGGACCTGTTGTGACGGTGCGTTCTAACAGCGATCAAACGCCAACGGCTATCGATCTAATTGCAATAATTTTTGCGCTATTGAAACTATCGGGGATCGGCTATCGGTCGCATTTCTGACGGAAATTATTCGAGAAACGACTCGTTACGAGCCGCATGGCTGATTTTATCCCGTCGATCGATTCAGATTCTTTTTGCGAAATACGGATGCTAGAGGAATTTGTAGATCATTAACGAACGCTGGGACAGATTATAGTACTAACTCTAGTATGTTGGTAATTTTATGTGACCTTATTGAATATATTGAATTACTAATATTAATTTATTTCAATCCATTTCATCGATCTCCACGTATTATATCATGCAGGATAAATCGGGGATATAGTTACGTAATAATTAAACTGCGGATGTTTACGCATTTATGATAAAAGGAAGTCTAGAAATATCTAGGAGAATGTTGCGTAAATACAAAAATATGTAAAATATTACACTGTTTAGAAGATGAGACATGTTTTCATTTAAATTACAATTCTTTATCTGAACCTGTAATGTGTATCTGAATTATCTGCCTGTGCAAAAATTGTGAAACTCCATAAAAATCTGCAGTGTGATAATAATATTAGCTAGGTGATAAAAACAGAAGGAGAAACTCTTACGCACAAACTTTTATGCACT